AAAGGTAATAATACTTTGACTGTGTTAAGTTTTATAACGAGGGCAAATGTCTCAATGTAGCCTATGCTATAGGTTTGAGTGGATCCTTTTGCAATAAGATGAGCTTTATATTTCTCCAAGGAACTATTAGCATTATACTTTAGTGTAAAAACCCATTTGCATCTAACAAGCTTCTTTCCTGCTAATAAATCAACTTCTTCCCAAGTGTTGTTCCTTTCTAAAGCTTTCATCTCTTCCATAATAACCTTTCTCCAGCCTGGTATTTTAAATGGCTCACTAATATTGCTAGGTATTTTTGTTCGATCAATATTTGTTGTGAAAGCATATGGTCTTCGAGAAAGAGCCTTATAAGACACAAACCTCTTTATAGGATGATGAGTACATGAGCGAGGTTGTTTCCTTAGAGTAATAGGGAGATCTAGATTAGTAGATTTAAGACCATTTAGTTTATTAGATGAATTGGCATTTAGGAGTTCAAGAGTTCTCTCAAGCTTTATTTCTCTTGGCACTTCAGCTTTAGGAGCTACCTTTAGTTCTGACTCTTTTAGTGGTTTAGGCATGAATTGTTCACTATCTTTTAATTTGCTTTTTTTTAGTGTAGACAAACAACTCTCCCTCTTGTGGTTCTCTTGCATCTCCCTTTTTTTTGCTATTTTCCTTAGGTTTTGGCATAAGAGAAGGGGTTGGTGATGGTAGACTTAGAATTAGTTCAAGAAAGTAGGGTTCAAAAGGCTCAAGAGGTTCAAGTAATGTAGGTATGTTGGAAATAGAATCTTTGTTGGGTCTCTCACTTTTTAAAGTCTGAAATTCATTTATACTCTCCCCCGAATTAAGAACTGGGGATAGAATGGAGTATCTTCAAAAAAGGTAACATTAAGACTATTGAAGATATATTTAGAGATAGGATCATAACACTTGTAACCTTTTTGGGTGGGTAAGTAACCTAAAAATATACACTTAAGTGCACGAGATTCAAGTTTAAGACTCTCGTGAAGGTGGACAAAAGAATTACAACCAAAGACTCAAAGTGAAAGGTTAGTGGTAGGGTATACTTTATGTAAGGTGTTTAGGGGTGATTCATAAGATAATACGCGACTTGGCATTCTGTTTATGAGATAAGTGGCAATGAAAACAGTATCCCCTTAAAAGTATTTTGGAACATTACAAGTAAACATGGGAGCTCTTGCCACCTTTAAAATATGTTTGTTTTTCCTCTCGGCTATCCTATTTTGTTGGGGGGTATGCACACAAGTACTTTAATGGATGATACCATGTTCTCAAAGAAACATACTCAAGGTTTGGTTAAAGTATTCTGTGCCAACATCAGTATGCAAAATTTCAATAATCAACTGAAATTAGGTCTTAATCATAACATAAAAGGTGGGGAACACAAATGAAACTTTGAACTTATGTTTTAATAGATAGACCCAACAAATACGGATATGATCATCTATGAAAGAAACAAACTACTTACTATGAGTACGATTGGGAGCCTAAGATGGTCCTCACATGTCACTGTGTATAGTTGTGAAGGGTTTGGAGGTGTATATTTGGCTCTAAAAAAAGAAGTTTGATGGTGTTTAGCTAGTTCACACACCTCACATTGAATTTCACACATATTTTAGTTTGGACATAAATTAGGGAACAACCTTTTAAGGTAATGAAAATTAGGGTAACCCATCCTCTTATGCCATAAGGGAAACTCATTATTGTTTGTGGAAGATGCAGAGTTACTTACAACAGGTGAGTAGTGATTGGTCACTCAAGCAACTTCAAAGTAGTATAATCTTTCATACTCCTTAGTACTACCAATTATCATTCTAGTCAATGGATCCTAAAACACACAGTGTGATGGGAGAAATTTAGCAAAACAATTTAACTATTTAGTCAATTGACTAATTAAAAGTAAATTACAATCAAGTTTGCGCACATGAAGGACAGATTCTAATACTATAGAATTTGAGATACAAATACTTTCTTTTCTAGTCACTGAGGCCAAAGAACCATCTTCAATCTTCACTTTAACATTTCTAACACGCGAGATGTAAGTAGTAAACAACTTATGACAACTTGTCATATGATCCGATGCTCCTGAGTCCACAATCCATACTATGAATTCTCGAGATGTCTTTAGTGCCTGAAGAAACACCCCCTTTTTTGCTATTAATGCAAGAAGTGCAGATTTGCATACGTTTGATAATTAGGAGTAGCCATATTAACACTCCTAGAGCCTAGAATAAAAAAAATTCATAATAGAGAGGAATCACGCACCACAACCCTAAACACAAAAGGTTATAATGCAGAATGAGATACATATGATATGAACATTTTGATAGAGGGCTCCCTAAACTTGGGAAGCACTTAAATCTTGCCAAAAACAGCACATTGTTACCAAAAAAGGAAGGCACCATCCAACCAGAAGCTTCACGCGCCCCCATAGGCTGCCACACTTGCGTTGTGTCAGACTTGCCAAGTGGCACATGTGAGTTACACGCATCGCTGTTCACAGTGAGAGTTTTAGGATTGGCCGATCGACATCTTCTGATGCTCCTTAAGATGGTGGTGAGAGTCAATAAGCTCTCTACCATCACATACATGACTAACTAGAGACGTCGACTTAGGCTATTTTCAAAAAATGAGACGTTATCTCAACCTAGAGATTTAACTATAAGCAAATACTTTTTTCAAACCCTCCTAGCTCTAATATCATGTGGAAATTTAGTAAGGAAAAATTGTATATTCTCATTTCATAGTTCATTCTTACATCTTTGGGAATTTATACAACAAGGATGATAATTTACAATAAATGTAATAAAATAAATACAATAAATATGATGGAAACTAATGCAATCAATCCCTGATTTTCTTATATATTCTTGATTCTCCTATATCTAATGCAATTAATTCAAATTTTCCACAATGGCAATACAGTTGGCAACCATATAACAGTTAAAAACTACTCTATATTGGATTGAGTAATATAGTGTCAAAATATATAATTGTTAAAAATAGCTGCTCCCTCCGTTGAAAAATGTAAGTCATTTTTTGAGGAGTTGGATATTCAAAAATGTAAGACATTTTTAGTCTTTTGAGGTGTAATCATTACTTTTTTTTAAAAACACCCCTATTAATAGTAAGTAGTGACTTTATATTTACTATAAAATGTTTAATAGGAGTAAATATAAAAGAATAAAATTAGTTTAAAAGTAGGTAACTACTTTATTAAAGGTAAAATTTGATTAAAAATGCCTTACATTTTTGAATGGAAGAAGTATATATAACAAAAAATAACTACTATATATAGCTTTTTTTGCAATAGTGGTAGTTGAAAGCATCTTATAATAAAGACTGGAAGGAGTATAAATCAATTGTAGCTAATTTGATTTGGTAAGCAAATGAAAGAGTTATTAAATTACTCAGAGGCTATTATAGGATGCCTTTTGAAAAAATTATTTGATTCTTAATATAAGGTATTTGAGATAATATTAATTACATTTTTTTAATACTACTTTTATTCAAGCTCATTAATATGCGAAATTATAATTTTTTATTTAAATAAGAGTAAAATTAAAAAATTATTCTATTTTCAGATAACATTAATGATTTAATTCTTTTTTAATTGCCGTAAAATTAGGGTGGCCTTGTAACACAGAAGAGAAGTGAACGAGTAATAATCCAATTCTACCCATCTAACCCAGGGCTCTCAAGTCAAAAGTCTAACATCACTTTCCTTCTCTTTATATGACCATTATACCCAATGGGCCCCGCACAATCTAACTGTAACGGGTCCGCCTTGGCTGACATGTCACCACTACCACATGCCCCACGCCCTCCTTCGGGTTAGGGCTGCACAAAAGACTGGACGGCACTGGACTTCACCCTAACCCGAAGTCCGGTCTCTTTCATGAAAAAGACTGGGTTAGGCAACCCGTAGTCCAGTCTTGTCCAGTGATAACCCGAAGATTAACAGGACCGGACTTGGTCCATAGGACTGGGAGACTGGTCCTGTCAGTCCAGTACTCACTTAGCTTTTTTCCCTCTTTTTATTCTATGAGAGGCAATAATCCATTCCAACATAATAAACTCAATTAAGATAGTAAAAATACTTATAATAATAATAAATCCATAATAATTTCTAACAATAAGAAAAAAAATATTTTTGTTATAGTCTAAATTATTTAAATTTATAAACTTTAATAAAAACAGTACTCAAAAAATTCAACAACACTATATTACAATAACAATTTAGAAACAAACTTAATAAATTTTTATGCAATCATCTCCTTAGCATCAATTACACTTTAAACATTTGTCAAAAATAAATTAATTATAATTATAATAAAAAAAATTAATAGGACTGGACTGGACCAAGTGGTCCGGATGCCTGGTCTCTTGTCCAGTCCAACCCGAAAAAATAGTCTGGTCTTTTTAGTCCTTTTGGTCCTGAAGGACCAGTGACTATACAGACCGAACAAGACTGAGACCATCTCGAGTTGGACTGGACCAGACAGGACTGGGAGACTTTTGCACAGCCCTACTTCGGGTCCTCTCTCTGAGTCTTGATGACTCATGACAGGACCGAGTGCTGTAGATTCTCTCCGGCTAGCTCACCTTCTCGCCAAAATTAGCCCAGCCGTTGAATTCTCTCTCTCCCGACCTTTCTATCTGGCAGAATGCCATAGGAGTGCTAAAATATCAATTAATTTAATTTAAATTTTAATTGTTAAATTTTCAAGACTTATAAAATCATTCTTTAATTTTATAATTTTATTATAGTGAATTTATATTTTATATTTTAAATTTTAATAAAAATAATTTTTTATTTTTTAATCATATTAAAACTTAAAAAATAAATTACAAATTTATCATAATCTATAAAATTAAAAAATTAAATTATAAATTTTTAATTTTTAACATTTAAAATATAATTTAAATTAATTTATCTTTTGATATCTTTTTTTCATTCTCCTTTTTACCTCTGCAATTCTATTCCAATTTCTCTGACGCTGGATAGGACCCAGTGTCGTGAAATTCAATCCACCGCGGGGTTCGATTCGACGGCTTCTTCTCTCCCCACCATCATCTTCGTCTTTCTCTCTTTTGGGAATATTTACTGCCCGGTGTTGCCCTCCGCTTGAACTTGATTCCGGTAATTCTTTTTCACCACTTCTCTTTTCTTCTCGACAAGGAGGGACCCGCTTTTGTCTGGGCACGAAGGACACAACCCTTCGCCGAAGATTTCGGATTTGTTCGTCGGGTGCTCAAGAGGGAGAGAGCGAAGGTTTGGGGATAATCCCGTATGCTTGGTTTCTCTGCAACGTATTTGGGGACGCAAGGATTTGCATTTACAGCTGAATAGCCATAAGGTCTTCCCCCGACAAGCAAAATTACATGCCAAGGGTGGAAATAGCCAGATGCGAAAAACCCCTCCGTTCCCGAATTGTTCTTGAATATCGGAATCCTTTGATTGTTGTTTTATGGATTCAACATTTTCGACCTTGAGTTTTGTAATATTTGGCTTTACCATTAGCCTTTATGTTTTACTTGTTGAATCCAAGATAGAGAGTAGTAATGTAATGGCATCATCTCCTCCTCAACCCCCGCCGCCGCCGCCTCCTCCTCCTCCTCCCCCTCCGCCGCCATCGCCTCCACCTCCTCCATCACCACAACCTCCTTTCCCGCCCCCACCTCCGCCTCCAGCATCACATCCACCGTCCGGATCTTTACTGCCGCCGCCGCCGCCGCTACAACCAACTGCACCGACTACTCCACCACATCCCGCCTCCCAGACGAATGAAGTGACGGTGGACAAATTCCCGCCACCTGCTGATGACGACAACCGCCTTAACCAACTCCGGCAACCGGCGCCCCCTATGAATGCAGGGAAGAAGATTGGGCTATTGTTTCTGGGTATGGCGGCAGTCACGCAAGTCGGGGTGATTGGGTTATTAATATATAAGCGAAGGCAACTCTTAAACGACTTATGACAGATATGAAACTTGTTGTTTTTGGAAAATTGCTCTGCGAGTTCTCTCGTCAATTCTTCATAATGTGCTAGAATTGAAATTCTTGACTGAGATTTTGTATGACCTGGCAAGAACAGAGCAAGCAAGGGGTACAAGAATTGAACATCAGTTGTGGATTGCTTGCGGCATCGTTGTTCCCATTTGGGCCTTCAGAGTTTTCTGTATATTGGTATTGTTACTTGATGTTTTCTTGTCTTCAATGTTCATTTCTGATCGTATCACTCCCTCCATTAGTTTCTTTACATGGCTTATAATTAAAAGAAGCCCTTTATTTCTCTTCAGTTCTTTTGTTTTCTTTTTTCGCCTGACATTTTCACTGTACAATGATGTTAGAAAGTAATGGAAATTTGACAATGACATTTGTTTACTCTTTTCCTTTGCTATTTTCTGTTGTCCTCGTTGCTGAATGTTTCTACTCCTAGTTCTTGAGTGTTTTTGTTGACCGGAATTTCTGTGATTATTCTTAAGGTTTATCCTAGCCAATGCGATTTCTTTGCTAGAACGCTCACTAGATAGATGTGTTCTATAGAATAGTATACTCTGAATTATGCACATTTCACCACGCATAATTTGTTGTCATGACTTTCCAACAAACTTCAATACTCACTCCATTTGTTTTATTTTAAAATCTATTTTTCACTTTATAATTTCAATGAAAAATTAATTATTTTTTGGACCATTTTTACCCTTCATTAATAAAAGAGAGCCATTGCAGAAAATAAAACAAAATAAGTAAGAGTATCTTAGTCAAATAAATTGTATGTATCTTTCTTTTCTCACCTTATCCAATAATCTATCTTGTTAATATTCTATAGTCTCTCCTTTGTTTACTTGCGGTGTAGTATTCTCCTTAATATAAATGTCAGAGTATGCCTATCTTCTTGCGCTCTGTGGAAGTATTTTGTCTCTTTCCGTAGTTTCTGCATATGGATCATGCATTGGAAGCTTGTCCTATGTGTCGTGCATTTTAAAGTGAGCAGATTTGACGGCTATTTAGTATTACAAGGTATCAGGGGCGTACAGTGTTTTGCTTGCAACTTGGTTCATGCTTCATGTTACTACATTTGCCAGTCACTGTTTATCGTTTTGTAATTGGATCACACTTTCTAATTCAGTAGCAAATGTTTGGTGTTTATCGAATGGGATGTTGAGCACTTCACAGGTTACGTGACATTCCAGATGGGGGGACTGGGAACCTTGGTAGTATTTCTCACTATCAAGGATTGTAATGTTGAACAAAGAAAACTTGTTTTTATTGGCAACAAAAGAATCTAGTTAAGAATTGAGTATGAATCAGGGTTTAGGGTTTGATATCTGCAGGGCTCTCGTTGATTCAGTTAGCTTAACAATCATTCACTCAACGTGCGACGTGGACACACTTTAGTCCTCATGTGCCTTTCCCGCTCAACTATCTTCCCTTGTCAATGCTTTGAGAAAATCTAGGGAAGTTGATCGCTCTGAAGTTGGTATAAATATGACATGCTATGGCAGTTGTCAGGACACAGAAGAGATTGAGTCACACAGGTATCCTGAAATTTGCTTGGTATAAACTATGCTCTGCTAAATTTGATTTCATTCTGGTAAAGCCCCGCACAGGCATGCGCAATGGAATGATAATTCTTTGAAAAGAGGTGAAATAGTGTTTACTTTTTTTCATGTTTGATATTTCGTGTGGACTGTGTTCTTGGTTGGCCAAGCCAAGGAGATTGCGTGCACGGAGGGGACGACTCTTTCAGACCCGAACTGACCTAACAAAATACACGTTGTTGAAATGTGATTTAAAAATCTTGTATTTGTACTAAGGTCTAACGTAGCTTGAATACAATCATGGGGGCTCTGCTTAGTTGGTCAATTCTGAGGGATGCTGAATCTGAGAATATGTTCCAACAACGCAGAGACTAAGGTCTTATTTCGTTCAATTTATTTCGAGTGTTTCCTGAAATGGTTCTCCTTGAACCTTTTCCCCAACGGACAAGAAATTCGCAGGGTATGCCCGAATATGACATGCTTTCGTTCTGAACACTATCGAGTTGATGAAATTTTCTGTCCCCAACAAATAATTAAGAACAATTTATCTTACTTAAGCATACCTTGACTTTGTTAATTATAAATTTACTTGTATTGAGGTCTGGGGGGTCCTTGGACTCTTTAACAGAAATTAATTTCTTGTCCAGACTACTTTATTAGTCACAATATTTGGTAAGCTTTTTAGTCTGTCAATTGTGAGATTAGATTATTGCTTTCCTAAGCCAGTTGCCAAAGGAAGGCAAAGAAAGAAAGCAGAATCAAGGAGTCGTTTGAGTCTAACGAAAGCATAAATATGTGAACCACTGTTTGATTAAACTTTGAAACTGAAACCCTAGCTGTGAAATCTGAGTAGCGACAGAGAATTTTGTAGTTTTCTGTTCAGGAGCCAGGAGGGCTTCAGGGAGCTAGTGTATCCCTCAGAGTGTTGGTACAATTTACTTGTTATTCATTCCACATGTTGTGTGTTGGTCCATGGACATATTCAGAAGAAGCAGAAGCTATTATAAAAGTAGAGACTGCGGAGTAACAACACTATGCTTTCCAGTCAAACAACAAACTGTGCAAATCTGAGACAACTTTTTTCCCTTCGCGGAGAAGAAAGTAAATACATAAATATCACGAAAAGTACGGGCACAGATAACAGATCCTCTTCCTGTGGCCCCCTACATAACTCAACAAAGACCATTCTTTTGCAAAAGAAAGCTACCCCTGCTATACAAAGATCTTTTATCTGCGGTACCGCTTCACGAGTCTTATCATTCATCTGCCCAGAAAAAGGAGGTTAAATAAATTAAAAGAACTACACAGATTATATAGATAAGCATAGAAGGGAATATTAAGGCGCCAAGTACATGAAGAAGAGGAAGCCTAGAAAATAAAACATTACCTTAGGGGATTCTGGAATTTGAAGCAAGATCAAGCCAGGAATCTGTGTCCTTTGGAGGCCATTCACCAAAGAAATGATGAAGGGATCTCTGGGTCATCTCAGTTTCACTCTCATGCTTTAGTTGTCCTGGTGATTTGAAGTCTCTTTCCAGAACAAAGCAATGTTGCCCTTCTTGTTGCCTTGGAGTTGGATTATCATTCATGTTTGGGAACTGTGACTTTGAATGAGGTTCACAGGAGCTCATTGGTAATTGTTGATAGGAATCAGGAAAGCTCCTAACGCCCCCTGAGGCTTCTGGGAAGAAAGCTCTTTCATCCACACCTCCCCTCATTCCATGAACATGCCTGGTGGAAAAAAACTCGGTTACTAATTATAACCAATACAAAGAACTTAATAAGAAGTTAACCCTTCGTTCCAGACAAACCTATAGTACTCATCCCTAGAATAAGATCCAGAGTCTAAAAATAGCTGGTGGGTATTGCTTTTTTGAGAAGGAAAATCATAGTCCAGAGGTCTACATGAGGTTGAATGGGTGTAGAACAAGGGGCTGAGAGAAGAGTTTTGGTAAATATGGGAATAATAAGGTTGGGAATCAGAGGGCATAGAAGAGGGCAATATAGCGAGAGGGAAAGAAGTTGTTGAGGGTGGATTGGGATTGATCATGGTAAGGCTTGTGTTACTACATGATGAAGAGACTGGCTGTGATGTGTTTGTTGAAATTCCAGTTGTTGCTGTTGCTGAAGAAATTTCCACAGGCTTTCTTGAACGGTTTCTCCCCCTGTGCATGTGCCTCTCACAGTATTTTGAGTCCGGATAGGCTTCCTTTGAGCATCTCCATTTCTTGCCATCTGTTCTTCTGCACCTCCCTGGCTCTGGGTCTACTTTTCTGCCATATCCCATTTCTAGGCATCCCCATCCAACTGCAGCAATATAGATTAAAAAGAAGAAGTAAAAGAGAATAAAAACTGAAACATAATCTTTAATAACCACGAAATAACATGCTTCATTCCTACTTGGATGGAAGGGGAAGAGCCTTGAAGAAGAAGAAGACAGTGAAGAGTCTAGGCTTCTTTTGACAGAGTAAATGAGATCAGGTGGGATTGGGCTCCCTGAGACCAGGTATTTAAAAATAAGAGCTTGTTGTTCAAGTTCCTGCCATTGAATTGCTGTAAAAGGAGATCTGTTTGTTACACTTGTTTGACTTATCATTTTCGACACCAAAGGCTTTATATATAAATATATATTGTAACTATGCAGTGATGAAGCAGAACTCGAGAGATTTCAAAGACAAAAAGGACATGGATTTCTTTTTGTTTCTGAAGTGAAGGGCTTATTTGAGGGAGTCATTGGCTAAGAATCTTCTTCCTGTGCATGGATAAGAGTCGAGACTAATGGCTCCCTGATGACATACTACTGCTGGGCTTTGTGAGCGGGTGAGTGAGAGTGTGAGTGCGCTCTTGCTCTTGTAAGTTATAGTGACTGAACATCTAATGGGTTTTGTCTCTTTGTCCTGCCGCTGCTGCCGTAGTCTCTGACATGTTTGCAAAAATCCATAAATAAGTGAACAAAACGTAAGAAAGCAAAATTAATAAAATTCAAATAAAGGAGGACCATGCACCTTTGGGTTTGCTGTCTCTTCATATTACGTCCTGGAAAATAGTGTCATCTGATTATGTTTGAAGCGTAAGCTCCTCGGCTTCAAGACACTACAGACTACAGCAAGGTTTGCCTTTATACTAATGAAATTTTGGATATTTGAAGACATTTTAAAAAAATAATAATAATAAAATATTTTTTAAATATATAAATAATAATTTAATTGTTTAAAATACTATAAATTTTTTTGAATTTTTAAGGAGTTTTTTATTATTAATAAATTTATATAAATTATTAAATTATTCTTATTAAAAAAATAATTCACAATTTTTTTATATGTACAACTTTTTTTTATATTTATAATAATGTAATAATAAATAAAAAATTTAACATGCAAAATTATGATTTACTGTTGCATTGTTGCGAATTAAAAACAAAAGTTGTAAATATAAAAAGAAAAGTTGTGAATCATTTATTTTCAACAAGGGTAATTTAATAATTTATATAAATTCATTAATGACAAAAAAGTTTTTAAAGACTTCAGAAAAATTATAATATTTTGAGTAATTAAATTGTCATTTATATATTTTAAAAAGATTTTATTATTATTTTTTCTTTTAAAAATAGTCACATTGTTGGTATATTACATTATTACTTTATTATTACAAGAACTTATCAGTAGTAACTTTACATAAATTAAAAAGTTCAATCAAAATTAGTCAGTGTTTCTAAAAAACAAATTTTAAATTACCCAACATGAATTTCGAAGTTACAAAGAAATAATGTTTATACAATTCAGTTATCTTTTGTACAATCTTTTTGGTTTTTGTTTGTTTTGGTTGGCAATAACTGATGCGTTTCGCTCCTAATTTTCCAGCAATGTTGTTCATTAATTTATTATAAAGTAGATGTGGTTCTAGTTTGCTCATCATAACCTCCCGCAAGTTTGCACATTCAACACGATCCCCTTTTAACCAGAACCAGAAGGTTGCCACGTAAACATTTTGGTGATTAGGTCATGAGCAAATTATTAGTAGGTTTTTGTGGTTCAATAAGGGAAACGAGCACTTCAATCAGGAAAGTAATAAAAGTGCTGATGGCTTAATTTGGAGTTTATTTTAGTAATATGAGAATGATTATTATGTTTCGGAAGGAAGGAAGGGAGTTAGAGAGATGGTTAACCAATAAAATTTTGCTCAGTTAATAATGATTTGGTTAATGACCCACAAAGTCATGATTTTAAATCGCACTACCAGTATGAGAACTTTGTAATTTGTAATTGTGAGCTTAAAAACATGTATTGGTCCAAGCAAGTTACTAAGACCCAACTCAACTGAAGTTTTAAGAAAAAATCACAATTAAAGATCATTAGAAACAATTAATTACTCTACGTGATTAAATAATTTTAATATTTATTTTGTAAGATCAAAAGACTTAAATGTAATTAAAATTTACTGTGAAAAGATAAAATTACCTCACATAATTATATATACTCTTTTAATAACAAGTCTCTATTAAAAAAAATAAAACAATTCTAATTTCATTTTAGTAATAATCAATTTTTTATTAATAATTCTAAAAATTAACTTGGTGATGGGGAGAAATAAATACTATAATTTAGTAAATAAATTTGTATTAAAAAATTATTTACATTTTAACAATAATTAATTTTCTCAATACAAATAACATATATGAGGGATTATATTTAAATCTTTTAATTCGATAGCGTAATATCAAAATTATTTTAATCTTGCAAAGCAAATAATCGTGCTCAATGGCATGTGATCGTGATTTTCCTGAATTTTAATGAAAACATGTTAGAAACTGATGGCTAAATAAAGGAGACAGGAAGTAGAATTTGTTTGTTTGTAATTAAGTTGGGAAGTGAAAGGAGTGGGCAGGAGGTGTCAGGTAAGGAAAGTAATAAAACTCTGTCCTTCCCTCCGCCACCTTCATTCATTTCCCTACACTTAGCTCCATCTCTCTCTTTCCCTCAATTCTTTTTTTTCTTTTTTAAGATGATATTAAATGTAAATATTATCATACTCAATTGAAGATTTCAAAAGTGTTTTATGTATATTCACATGGATTCATACACTCGAACTCGATATGTCATTTTTATGTGACTGCATTACATTAATCTATTACGACCCATGCAAGTTGGTGACAATACTAAACTCTAAATATCAGCTTAATTAATCATGCAAACTCTTCTATGATTTGTTTTATTTCCAAATTCGAATTCAAAAACGTTAAGTCAAAAGTGTTGAACCTTTCTACGGCTTATCACAAGTGCCGTTGTCTCCTAGTTCTTTGGTTTTTTTTTTTTTTTTGCTTCCACGTTTACATTTCTACACAGGCCGTGCATCACCTTCTATGTGACGTCACATCGGCATACTATTTTGTGTACGGAAAATATTGCTTCCCCTTCTCATTCCTTATCGTGGAGAAATTGGATATATAATCAGGATATGGGATAAACCTTATTCATGGTCGATGACTCTGCGTGTGGAACTGCCAGAGAAAAGCAGGGATATGTGTGTAATATATAAAAACTCAACGGTATTTTTTCTGATTCTCTCATCACTTTCTCTGTGGAGTATACGAGACATAAGAGTTGGGGTTACGAGAAATTATTCTCTATAAGTTCTCATTATATTTCAGCCATCATCATTTTTTTGTTTTCATCAGTCCTTGATGTTGCTAGCTTTTTAAAAGTAACATGGCATCTTAGTACCAACAATGATGGATGAGTCAAATGAAAGGACTTCGAAACTCCTTAAACATAATTTGGATGATAACATGTAATACGAGTTACCAGAAAGTTATTATCAACACATTACCATCCAAGTCCATTTAATTAACAGTTGGTCTGCTTGCGGTTGGCAAAGGAGGGCTTTTCCTGGATGCCCATCATCATCTTAATATATAAAACTCATATCGTTCTGTTTGTGGAATGAGTAAAGTTTGCTTTTTAGGGCATGGTGACGGGTTAGTCCTAGGGTTTTTAATGTGGCTACTCTTTCCTAGCCAGCTAGGCTGCCTAAAAGACTTTAACCGCATGTGCTCCTCACCTACAAGCTGTGAATTTTTGTCTCTAGGTTCACTTGGTTCCTATCACAAGTCAACTAACTTTTGCCTTTATAGAGTGTGTGTACATATGTATATGCAAGCACAACATGTACGACTCTTTGACATTGATTCGCTGTTTCAAAGCTATTTTTTCACGTAAATTATTTTTTGGTGTCATTAAACGAGCTTGAAGCATTTATACTTGGTTGTCTGTATTAGGTTCCTGTGACAGGGAGGTACCAAGCAAGCAGACTATCTTTTTCTCCCTTGCAAAGAATCTCAAAGACAGAACGGCAATAAACTGCGGACGCGTTTCAAAGTTGAAACTGTTAAAAACAGTGTTACTGCAGAAGCTATAGAGTGTAGAGGAAGCCAGCTAGCAGGGGTGGGTCATGAGCATTCATTTTGCATCAAAGGCATTTTTGACCCAGTCAATGAAAGTCCAATATTGCAATCTAACGTAAGAAAGATACGATAGGATCAAATCCAGTGTAAAGGCTCGCTCTTGTGTTGTGTGGCGTAATTTACTCAAAACTGAGTCTGCTTTGTCATTGGACATGACCATGGCTTTAACACAACCTTTGGGATTGTGTACACTTGGTGAACATGCTTAATGAAAAATTAAAGCTGTGAATATTGGCCCCCGTGAATAGTCTTCGTTCAGAGTGCTGAATTGAAGTTCATATGACACGGTCCAAGCAAGTCCAGAATCTATTTACCGTTTCACTGCTGCATCAATTTTAATGGAGATCACTAACTCGCTTACATAACGGACATGGTTGTGACAATGAAACTTCACATTTTTAGTATACACTAAGTAATTAATTTTCCACATTAATGTGGAGATTAACTTCTTGTCGGTGAGTTGGCTCAAAAAAGTCAATCTGTAAATTCAATCTTCACCCCTCCGCGCACTGGTGATCTCATAAATGAGTTTTTCAAGTGGTTTTATCGTGATCTTGTATTTCAAAAAAAAAAAAAAAGTTTCTCAAGTCAAGTTGCTTTGCACTTAATTGTTCCATTTCAGTGAAAGAGATGAGATGGAAGCCCAAGGATCTGGGATATGTTGTTCGGAACATTTGCCTCAGCTTTTCAAACTCAGTTCTTTGCTTTTTTGGGCTACAAAAACCCCACTTCTTAACAAAAAATGGACTTTCCTTTACTGGGCTTTCTTCCTTCAACCTAAAAGCCTCAAATTATAAACAACTGCTCAAGGCTTTCTGCTTGAGCATTATTCAGCATGGCCTAACAGGTCTTTTGTTTTTTTGTTTTTTTTTTTGGGTGGGAAAAGAGCATAACAATTTAGGTTAAAAAATGTAAACAAAGTTATTTTGTTATTAACAAAAAATAAAAAATAAATTTTATCTTACCAACTCTCTTGATTGTAATATAATCTTAGAATTAGCTTTACATTGCCTCCCAGAAGAGGACACTTCGGCTTTTCGATCTTAACAAACGGAGCTCAACCGCCCTAGATTTTCAGAGGATCTCATTATCTTCGCTTTCTCTCTGTCAACCAAATCGATTTCTTTGACATTAAATGTGAAGATGCGAGTGAACAATGAGCATGTGCCCTCAATCATCCGGAGCATTATCATTGAATCGAAGTTAGCGAGTTGATGGCGGAAAAATAGAGGTGTTCTGTACAAATATGCATTTGTGCAATTAAGTGTCGCTAACTATAGTATCTTTGTCATGTTAAAACCAAACAACGGTCAGCTTCTTGAGCCAACCATGCCAGTTGAAGCAGGTGCAGGTACAGTTAACTGTCTAT